AACCTTGACCCTGCGAAAACCCGACTGCCATGAGCCGGAGGTACCATCAAACGAAGCTGGCGAACGCAGTATGGACGGTGGAGCCACCGAGCTCAGAGCAGTCTTTATGGTTTTATGATTCAGGACTGCCCTAAACCCCAAACCCCTAAACCCATACAGGTTCAGCAGGGCTCAGGTTGGAGTCTATGTGAAGCAGGAGGGTTTATCATTGTTTTTGGTGAGCGCTTGTGTATCGGACGTGAGAGGCAATCTGCAGGGGACGGGATCGCTGCGTGACAAGGCCCGCACCTGAGACTAAGCGTAAGAATCGCTCATCTTCTTCGTCGTCGTAGCAGTTTCAGTGGCAGTCGCACGACAGATGCAGTAGCAGTGGTCGTCGTCGTCGTAGCAGTAGCAGAAGGAGGAGGATCGGAGCCTGGGTTCCAAAGTAGTCGCAGCAGAAGAGTGCGAGTACTACTAGTCACTACTACAGAGTACGTAAGGGGCACATCAACTCAAAGTGAGACTGACCGGAGGCGACAGCAATGTGAACAAAGCCACCATTCTAGCAGCTCCATGTGCCCTATTCTATAAGCGAACCACGAACTAGCACAGAAAAGGCACTCTCTAAGGTAAACCGGAAAGTGCTGGTAATTATACACTAGCCATGTTTTTCCCCAAATCCCCAGAGCAGTACCAATTCAATCCCTGAGCCCCAGTGTGTGGGTGCCAAGAGCAAAGTCTCTGAGCCGAGGTTCGCCAGCAGATTGCCGGCCGGCTCCAAGGCGTGCAAGCGAATGCAGGAACTTGATTTAAGAAACCCTGAGGCTTTGTTCGGATTCTTTAAATGAATCCTACTATTTTGGGTTTATGGGGCCAGGGTTTCTTAATCAGGTTCCTACATTATTCTTTGCAAGGTTGTTCTTGATGGTTCAAGAGTTTCCGCATGCGTCGCGCAGGGCCATTTTCCGTCGGAAGCGTAGGGCCCAGTGTCTCTCTAGAAGTTGAGGTCCAGGCGTAGCAGCGTAGCACCTCAAGTTTCAGGTTGCGTGTGAGGCTTTGAAACCTTGCTGCAAGCTAGGGCTCGAGCTTGTAGGCCATAGACAGGCAGAAGGAGAGCCATGAAGATTCAGCGGCTACCTTTTTGGCACCGTAAGGTTTCAATTCCCCTAGGATACTGATAGCCGGGTTGGACAAAGTCACGGGATTCTCGACCCTGAAAGTCTGATCGCTTGAACTGGTTGGGGCTGAGGTGGTGGCAGAAGGGGTCTAGTAGTAGCAATAGTGGTAGTGGTGGTAGTAGTAGTAGTAGTAGTAGTGGTAGTGGTAGTAGTAGTAGTAGTAGTGGTGGTGCAATGCCATACCATGACCTGGAGGTCAAAGTCCTCTGCTGCGCACCGGGATTGGCGTCGACGAACCTCCAGGCCAGCATGGCGCCAAGCGTAATGAACCGAACCGGTCACAAGCCGATCGTGGCCTGAAGTTCAGCGTCCAGGGTGCAAGCTAGGTTTGAGTGGACAAAGTGGAAGTGGCACCGCACGTCTGCATCTTTGCTGCTTGACCCGTTCAAGAAGATCCAAAAACCTCTCACTCTAGCAGTCTAGCACCGCAAATGTTGCGTACTCGTCCTTTCACCTGCTAGCCATTCTTTGCAAGATTGCCAGGTCACCACGAACCAGAACGACGGCATGGACTCGACTTGGATCATGCTGCCCAGATGATTTTTCAGTCACGCACTAGCACACAACCCTGACTCCTCGATTGCGTTTGTGACAGAAGCAGCAACCTCAGAAACCTGACGCTAGGCTGCTAGGCATGTCAGGGGGCGCAATCAAGCCTTGTGAAAGACTTCTTGGAAATGCTGCAAACGCCACGTCCCGCAGCATCGGGTCTACCAGGCCTTGCCCATGCCTCCTCCCCAAACCGAGAGACCAGATGTGCACAGAAAACGCGGGCTCCTCTCGGACATCTTGAGCCCGAGACATGTGAAGTCGCAAGAGGTTTAGGATCCTCCAGAGTTTCAGCTTCGTACCTGAAGAATCGCTTGAACCAAGTAGAAGGGCGATTTGAGGAAGCAGCGTGCACGATTGCTCCGCTATTGAAGAAAAATGTTGGGGACTATCGAAACTATACTAAAGACTCGACGTTCCAGCTCGTAGACCGTCGCGCGCCTGAGTCTGGAGAATTAGGGCTTCGGGTTCAGAGTTCTCGTGCCATAAGCCGGCATGCAGCGCTGCAACCTCTCACCCATAGTAGCAGCAGCTTTGGCACTCCCCAGGTCTCGTTCTTCTCTATCCCTACAATCCCTTATACGATTTTGAAGAGTATCTATGGGCAGCATGGGCAAAGTGCAAGCAGTGCTGACTCAACGCCATCGTAAAGCCAGAAACCTTGAGGCCCCAAAGCCCAGTGCTATCTACCTAATACCTTGACCTTAATCATTAGAATAATGTAGGGGGCCTTGATAGTTAGAATAGGATTTAGGATTTAGGCTTCTTTATAATATGTATTTATACTAAGGAGCCCTAAGGTAGTTCGTCATGTACCAAAATCAAATCCCTCGGTGTACAAGCCCAAGCCAGGAGAGAGAGAGAGAGAGAGAGCTCTTTCGCCGGCCGTTCTATACTTGTTTTCCGAAACGAAATGTTCCTTCGTTTCCCGGCCGCCGGTCACTTCAACGGCATGATAGCCTTTAGCCTTTTGTGTTGATTTAATTCTGACCAGGCCATAGGTGAAACATCAACCCTTTTTTTGGGGGGACCAGGAATTGAAGAGTCCATCCCTGATAATTTGTGTTTCCGCCCACGTCATAGAACCCATATGGCAGATCTTGTTCCTAAAGCTACACAGAGATCCATGCCCCCCTTGAGAAAGGTGCCTTAAACTCCCTATACCATGGAATGCAATGTTCCGAACTCTGCCTGCTTGGATGTAGCTCTGCGCGGCTCTTGAACTCGACAGCTGAACAGTCAGTGGGCTGTCGGTTGAAGCTTTAGCGTCGGTTTAGGGCTTAGGATTTAGGTTGTCCTCAGGAAGTACGGGCAGTCGGCAGAAGACGGCACTATGCCTCTCGCGCATTGCTGCTTCGGAGAAGGACATGCCAGCCTAGTTGGGTGTCTGTGTGGGGTGCCCTAAACCCTAAACCCTATACCCTAAAGTGTGTGTCTGTGTGTGTGTGTGTCTAGGTGTCCTTGCGGGCGCCTCAAGAGAGCCAGGGTAGATTGGAGCAGTGCCATCCGCGAACTCGAGACCCCTCTTTGCATCGCTAACCGGTTGTTAAAGAGTTGGGCTCATACCCTAAAGATTTGGGGCGTGAGCTCAACGGATTCGTTTTGAAGTGTTCGATGACCGACTAACTCGGCGACCTGGTGCATGTTTTCATACTTGACAGAGAGTGGGCAATCTGGGCTATATATTATAAACCCAAAGCTGAACCTTTAGTTCCCGCAGGATTCTCTGGGCAAGTAAGATCATACTGCGTAAATGGCCTGGTCGAAGCGGTGCGCCCTTTGCCAAATGTACGCCTATCAAGACATTGCAGCCTCCTGCTAGGCATGATCAAGCCTAAACCCTGAACACTGTCGTGTTGTGGCTGATCTTTATCCCTTAGAGCACAGCAACTTCTGCCCAAGCTACCTCGCTTGTGGGCATAGATCCTTAGCCATGCGAGAGGGGAAAAAATGAACCGTGAGTCCTTCAAAGAGCCTCGAAGCCTCAAACGTCGAGGGTGGCAGGACTTCCTGCTTGATGTTGGTGTCCTGGGTACACAGCGATATGGGTTGTTCTCTAAATTAGGGTCCCTTTTAGGGTTCTTTGTTATAAGGGTAACCCAATTCAGAGAACTACCCATATCTTGCCCTGCTGGAACGCGTCTTTCGCTGACTTAGGATACAATCGAGACTTTGCCCAGAGCACGATGGATTGACAATGTTGCTTTCAGGGGTTACCATAAAAGGTCACAACCAGCAACGACAAAGGGATAATATAGAGGTCGGAGTAAGAAGTAAGCTACTCGTAATAGTCCTTGTTATCGTAGAATCTGCCCCAAAAGCCGCATTCTAATTCTTAGGGGCCTAGGGGTTCTTACGTTTAAGGCTTGATGAATATGGCATTTTGCCGCCTCTCTGTGCTTTTGTCTCCCGAGACAAGGAGTGGTAAACGGCGAGTTCTACGAGCCTTCCCAGAAGTCGATGGGCATGCGAGTGCACCTTGTCAGCTCTTCGTCCTCCTCTTCGTAGTTTCGGTTTAGGGTTTAATAGGGTTTAGGGCATAGCTTCAGTCCCAAGTTCAGAATCCTCCAAACTAGGAGAAAGCATTATATATATATATAACTTGCTGAAGAGGGTGGGGCTGAGGATTTGGGAGACCCATACCCTGAACCCTCACGGCCCGATGTATCATTTCATTGCGAGGTCTGCCGTGAGTTGGGGAGGCCAGGGCTTGCACATTTGACACACTACGAAGCCCTTCTGGGCCCTTGCCTGGTTGCGACTTTGCATGGGGCTGGCATTGGTATTTGGATTCTTTCATGCAAGTTCATCCTGGTGTCTTGGATGTGCTGCCCTGGACAACCATAAAAACGAACAATCCACCGCAGGGTTTAAGTTTAAGGTTTGGGGTTAGATAGCACTGATGATATCACCATCGACAGATGTTGGTGTCTGTAGCGATCTGCTCAACATGTAAGCTGGTTCCTATCTGGTTCAATCGCCCCGCATCGGCTTGCTTGGCGAATGAGCTCATACTCTTGATGCGTTTTTGTCCGGTAACGTGCCATAGACTCGTTAATCCACCTCACACTGGCGAGAAACAGCTGTTAGTTGCTGTCACGTGGTTGGGCGCCTGCCAAACAGCATTCATGATTCTGACCTGCTACACAAAGTGCTCGAGCCTTCATCTCAAAACCTGAATGATGCGCAGCTCGTATGTTTAGATGTCCAGAACCAGCTTGGGCATGCAGGGATAGAGGGCCAGTTCGGTTTTTTCGGTCCTCGCCAGAACTCTCGTGCCGATTCGACAGCATGGCCGGCGAGTGGGCAAAGGCAGCGAAGCAGGCAGAGAAAGAGGAGAAAGATCCTGTCGAAGCTTTGAAGCTCGCCAAGCGGATTTACGGTCGTCTCCGCAGAAAATCGTCGAAGGGCGGGGGCAAAGCTGTTCCGATGAAGGCGATGAAAGCTATGGCTTCGATGAAGGGCAAAGCCGTGCCGATGAAGATGAAGGCGATGAAAGCTATGGCAACGATGAAGGGCGCAGCCGTGCCGATGAAATCGATGAAGGCCATGGCGGCCATGAAGGCAGCGTCGATTTAAGCACGTTTAGGTTTAAACGGTTTAACCTGAATGTTCACCCCTTTTTGTTATATCCCCTTCTCAATTATAAAAACCGATCCCCGGAGCTCATTCATAAACCTCCCCTCAATTATGAAACCCGATCCCCGCAACTCAATAGTAATCTCGTCCCTGGTTCCTAAAGGAACACTTGGGGCCCTTCTGTCAACCCTTCCAGCGTCGCAGAGAGAGAGTAGTAGTACTCGGGGAGGCGGGGTTTATTAGTATGAGGTTGGCATTAAGCATGTTTGGTCAGTCGGTAGTTTCGGGCACGACTCGTAGACTTCCCTCCGTTGAGCGTGTGAGTGATTGAGTGGTGGATATTTTGTTAATTTTGTTTAAGCAGAGACTTCCACACATCCCGAATGTCTTTAAGGCCACGAATGCGCACATGCTAACAAGTTCGCAGAATTCCACACATCCCGAATCTGCTTAAACCAATGTTAAAACCATGTTGGAACACGTGTTGAAACAGTTCCGTGAGCGCTACACAGCCCCAGTGTGTTTAAACCCATGTTCAAACGCAAGTTTAAACAGTTATCTGAGCGGCAAAAAATCCCGCCGAATGTGCTGAAACGTATGGCATAAGCCCGAAAGTCGAAACCCTATACTTCGAGCTTAATGCTCAAGGCCAGGGTCAGGCGTCTACCGCGAGCTCAGGGTTTACTGTAATCAGGCGGAGGTTGAAGCTGAGGGGTCAAGGCCTATCCTTACCGTAGTCCTACCCCTATCCCAGCCCTGGGCGCGTAGGTTTACACACTTAGCTTCGTATTTGGCTAGACGTGGTTTGAAAAGTTTGAAGGCTTTAACAAGCTGGTGAAAGGATGCTGCGAGTGCGTTTGAAAACGTGTTCTTAAACAATTCGCCTGTAGAGTTGGTTTCAACCAGTTTGAGGACGGTCTGAACATGCTTCGTCAAAGGGTTCCCTTGGTTGAAACATTCAGCGTTTAAACATAGGTGTGTTAAAACAGTTTAAACAAGACCCCCGTCCCAACCCTGCAAGAAGGCGATGAAGGTCAAGGCTGGTGCATGGGCAGCAGCCAAGAAGAAGGCAGAGAAAGAGGAGAAAAATCCCGTCGAAGCTTTGAAGCTCGCCAAGCGGATTTACAGTCGTCTCCGCAGCAAAGCGGCGAAGAGCGAAGCTGTCCCAATGAAGGCGATGAAAGCCATGGCGGCCATGAAGGGCAAAGCCAAGCCGATGAAGGTGATGAAGGCCATGAAGTGAGAGTGGCATAGTGTCAGACCTCTAGAGCACAGGGAAAGCTATTGCTTGTGGGCTTCCAATCCGAAGTTTATCAGGAAGGGCCCTTCTCCTGTTCCGGCATGGAATGAAGAGGATACCAGTCTTTGTAGCGCAGATTCTGAAACCCACTGCGTAGCAATAGCTGCGTGCCATATCTGCGACTCTTAGCCCGCTGGAGTCGGAGGAAGAGGAGGCTCGTGAAAGGCTTCATCTACTATTGCTGGCACCTTTGTTTCGAAACCTACCGAGCCTCCTCTCCAAGCCGACAACCACTCGGCCCCTTCAACGTATTTAGACTTGGAGGTTTGGCCACCTGAAACTAGGAGCCTCTAGACTCAAAACTCTGTAGTAAAAAACCCTATGAAAAAATAAAGAACCGAGTGATGTTGCTTGAGACTCCGCAGGCCAGACAGTCAGACCTTATCAGGCGGAGGCCGAGGCCCTTTGAGGGCGAAAAGCCCCGAAAGCGAGTAGCCGACCTACCGACATACGTATGCCTAGGGGCCTAGGTTGTCCGAGTCCCTAAAGCCCTGAGTCTCTAACCCTAAACCCCTGCATGCGAAGCACACCAAACCATGGCCAAGCCCCGATTGAAGACCCATTCATCATACCCTTAAAACCAACCCAGCAAAGCTCTAAAGCCCTTAGCACCAACCCCCTATCGACCCGAACCAGCCGGGGGGCCGACCTCGCAGCGCTTGCACTCTTGTTTTGGAGGTTCCCGTGAAGGGTTTGTCTGGGCTGTCTAGACGGTTGATAGTTCTGTGCGGGTCTATCGGTTTTTATAGGAGTTACAGTTTTCGGCTGCGTTCGTGTTTCTTTACCGGTCAAACTACAGGCAAATACAAAGCCAACGGTAGTAATACCGCAATATGGGATAGCTTCTGTGTACCCTTGAAAGAGCAGTAGGCCACTAGGCTGACATCAAGAGGCTTCTCTTTCTTTGGGTAAGATTTGATCAGAGTGTGGTAGGGTTGGCATGATTTTGCGAAGGACGTCTTTCAGGGGCTTTGGGTTTAGGAGGGCTTCAGGGTCAAGGTTTAAGGAATTGGGGTTCAGGGTTTAATTTAAGGGTTTCAGGCCGCTTTGGGTTGACAGGAGCGCAACATCCAAGTGCCCTGTGGTTCTAGTATATAACAACATTGCATTGTATCGAAGTTCCAATATTCAGTACAGTATGCGCGAAAGACTTCTCGAAGCTATGAAGGCCCCTGCAACAGGCAGTACAGTTTGGAACCCCGCACAAAAACCCTAAAGGATCCTTAGACGAAACACAAACATTTCACATAGATCCTTCGACAGCATGCCTGCGATCTCTTGCAGGCAAGCCAGAGGTTGCATGTGGTACTTGTTCAAGCTACAAGCTGCTTGTGCCCAAAGCAGCCATCATGTAGGTTTCCTTTTTGCCACGTGGCGCTTTGCCCAAAAAGGACAGAACAACCCCAACATGCCCCTACCCCGAGCCTGCCACAAGGAAAGGGCTGCCGGAAAAGTTTCCGCTGGAGACTGTTTGTACCAAGGTACTGCGGCTGTGAGGTTTCATAAGGATTGTCAAGAGGGTTTGAAAGGTTCTGCGGGGTGTTTTAAGGGTCAGTGAGGTGCTCTTGCAAGGGTTTATGTTTCGTCAGGGCTAGCAGGAACTCTTGGGATGTAGGTCATGCTTGGTTGGGAGGGGTTTTCTGGGCTTGGACACGGCATCGAACATCAGCCAGGGAACGTTCAAACAAGAGAGTTGCATTTCCCGCATTTTCTTTTTTGTTTCGGTTGCGTTTCCTAGTGCTAGTGGACATAGCTTAAATACCCAGGCTGTTGGAGCTAGCTATGTTTGATTCCTTGCTATGGACAACTGACCATCAACGGTACCGCTAGCAAAGCCTAGACATCCGTGTGAGTGTTCCGACCGTCAAGCTGTATGCAGGCACCGTCACGACCCCACACCGCACACAGTTTTCCTCAATCAACAAAAATGTGGTAGCTACCCTATAGCAGAAACCCAAAACATTTATGAGGATCCCGCAATACAAGGCACTCTACAACATAAACCGTAAAAATGATTAGGATCCTCGCCAGAGCGATACCTTCTGAAGAATCCGTTTCAATGTGTATATATATATGTATATTAATACATATATGTATGTACAACACCTTGGTGTAGACTTAGAATAGTAGGATCCTTCATTTAATTACGGACCCTTGAACATGCCACTCATCGACAATAAGAATCCTTTTAATATCGCTTGTAAAACCTTCGTAAACATGACAAGCCTTTTCAGACCGCATGCGCACCCTGTTGATTTCAATCGCTTCGCGTCGTCCGCCTCGGCCTGCTGTACTTGACGCAGGTGCATTGTTTCGGCAATAACGGGTATAGGTCACACACAGCGTCTTGAGTGAGAGAGCGCATTTGCTGTCAGAATGTTTCATTCCCTGCATTATCCCATAGACGATACTATAATAATCGCATCACACTTCTCACTGGTCCCGTATACAACCTCCCATAATATGTCCGAAGGGGAATCAAGCTTTGCAACGAAGTACAAGACAGACACAACCCCAGTATTCCCAGGTTTTGGCATCAGCTTCACGAATGATGTAAGCTAGCCCGTCTTGCCTCGCCGCAAGCAAGAGACGAGGGAAGGGGGTGGGGGGTGGTGGTGTGGGAGGTGGGGAAATAGGGAATCCTGTGGGAACCTCTGACCCGGGGCCGCGGCGAATGTTACATACCTGTGCAGCCTGTGCACGTTAAACTCGTCTATTTTCTGGAATCTAAATCTCCATACCGACATGCTCTGCTACTGTAGCGATGATTGTGTTCTGCATGCAGAGCATTACTATCTCTGCATCCTTGGACTATGCTGTGGTGCATCACTCCTCATGCGGGATATGCGCTGTTTCGTCGTTGGTCGTTGCGGTGTTGTGCGATATGAAACTCTGGGTGTTAAAGTATCGTAATATCATGATTTCCGCAATTGCCGCATCGTGTGCTTTGACTCTTTGCTGCAGCTGCACGGCTTCCTAGAAGCACTCTGTCAGGTTGTACTTATGTCTCTTCTCTGCTATGTTCGAGGCTAATTGCCAGCATCAACTGAACGTACAGTTGCACTGCCACCTAGAGATGCTCGTTCATTGGTGAAGATTACAAGTAATGAAACGCTGCTGCCTCTTATGCCTGCATGACGGTACAGCTATAGTATGAGAACGCTATTGTACCGCATCGTTGGACCACTAGCATACAGGGAAGTGGTCACGCTCTGCTTGTCTCGCAGTTCGATCAGCATTCTTGTTCCTGCAACGAAATTTATTACAGGTAGGTTCAATCCTCATGCTGAATTACTTGCGACTGGTCTGTGATGGAATTGAACTGTTTGCTGATCGTTAAGCCAATCCCAAGATTCACGTCTCAGCCTTGAGCCGATAGCCTCCGAGGCCTGACCACGAAGCGAAGCATAGCGCCACGGTGCCGATGCGAATTGAAGTGTCAGGTGATCAGCTCTTTTACGACACCTTCGTGCAGCCAGAGGAGCCTGTCACGGACTATCTCACGCAATTCAGCGGAATCACGAAGGACACCGATAACCGAGCTGTGGGCCCCAAGCAGCACGTGCACCTGAAACCCTGACATGTCAGGAGACCCTGGATGGCGTGAAGGCGTCTCGGGCCTGACACAAGCTTACTGAAATGCAAAGCGTCAGATCTTCCAGATGCATCAGATGCCAATCCCATGCCTGCGTCAGGTAAAGCTCTGCGATGTCCAGAAGAAGCTGCAGGAACATGTCGATAGGAACAACAAGCTACAAGTTTTCCTGGTTTCATGAAGGTCATTTTGTAGGTTCGCCAGACGAGTTCTGCGAAGCGTGACCAGTTGACTAAGCGGGTACGGAGTGATTCTATTGCACAGCATGGCAGCATGGGTCGAGTGAGCGAGTGAGTGAGAGGACGACCTGGGGTGCAGTCCCACCAACAGAAACACCCGCCATCTCTTGCCGCCTCCGCTTGAATCTTCTTGGAGATCCGAATGTGCCCGATCCGGACCCCCACGCATCGCTACTTGTTTGGGACTTGCGCTTGACCAGGCACCTGCCCGGAGAAAGGGCTAAGGAAGCAAGTTCGGAAGAATCAGTCCCTTCTGGCTGCTCTCAGACTCTGACGGCGACCCCTTGGAACCGGGGGAATGTAGCAATGCATATAGCTGCAGGAGAGAGGTTTGAAAGTCTCTAACTGCACGCACCACCCAAGACCAGACGGGGTACAAGGCTCGCGAATTTACAGCCACCTGCTAGCCCGTTGGTGCTGCGAACAGGGAAAGGAGCACGCAGACGGCGCTTGCTCGTTTGCGTGCTGTGTGGAGTTGCATTCTTCAACACAAAATTGAAGTTGTTGCGGTCCTTGTATGACGATTTCTGTGTCACCATGAAGCCGCGCACACAAGCTGAAAGCTGCCAAACAAACTCAGTAATGGGTCATGCTGTTCAGCTCAAGTTTGCAAGAATTCGGAGACTCGGAGAGACCTTCGAATTTGGAACGACTGAAAAATTCATCAGCTGAACAGAAGCTGCCAAAGCTGCTGACGCCACAAGGTGCAGTTGCAGCGGAGCCATATTTTTATGGTTTTGTGTTTGCTTTGATGCTTCTCCCGTTGCCACACAAAAAACCCCGCTGTTGATTCCTCTGAGTATTGCCACACTCTTCTTATACTATGTCACTACAGCAACTCCAGGAGCTGCTAAGCCAAGAATCTATCCTGGTGGGCCACTCACTGGAGCTGCTTGGCGCTAGCATTCTTGTTAAATCCAATCGAGAGTTATGCAACGTGTCCTCGGAACTGGACAAGCTCAGGAGCGATCTGAAGGCGCTGCAGCTGGTTCACGAGCGAGTCATCGACACTGCGCCTGGACACTTCCACCTTAGGCACATGAACACCGAAACAAGCAACGACGCGGGCGCAATGCAGGTCCTGAGGTGAGTCTTCTTAGCTACAGAAATGGCCGAACAGGCAAAGCCCAAGCGCTTCAAGGTTCTTTTGTACCCTCATCCTCGTGGTTGGCCATGTCGACAGAGCCTCGCAGGAAGTCACTGGGATGCAAGGTCTCATTCCAGCCTTGCCGTGCTGCTGCAGGACTATGCAGCGCTGTCTTGAAGAGAAAGCTACGACGAGAGGACGGCCACGATTCCGTTGAAGATGCGAAGGCTTTTGGCGTCCGAGCATCTGTCAACACTGTCAACAGCATTGCCCGAGTATCACATCTTGTGAGAGATCATGCTGGGCCGACAAGGTGGCGTTGGAGCTGGCGCTCCTGAAGTTTGCTCGTGGACCTAGCTTCGGTGTCACTTGCTTTAATGTCAGGATCCTGTTCCCACACTGTAGGAGACTGAGCTGCCTCAGGCAACTGGCGGCGAGTCGGTGCCCCTTGGGCGCTTGCTGAAGGAGACTGGAGTGCAGCTGCTTATTTCCGAAGCCGACCGCGGTGATAGCGGTGCAGACTGCCATGGGCTCAGAACTGAACCGGCAATGATCGGCGTGAAAGTAGGAAGTGCAACAGAATCCCAGAAAGACTAAACTAAACCCCTATGCACCCGCGGCTACGTTGGATCAGGACTTCAAACTCCCACCTTCCCTTTTGCAAGCCATTGAAGGGCCAAAACGCGGATAAGAGAAAAACACGGGGCCACCTGTGGCCCTCATCGGCTTTTCATTCAGTGCTTGATGGCTGTGACAGCGAGAGGTTCTCGTGCCAGCAGCTGGTACGAAGAAAGCTGCAGACGGGTTTTGCCGAGCGAGTTGGGTGGCTCTGCCGCGGCTTATCCGTCTCAACACCAGCTAGCTTATCTGCAAGCCGTGCATTTGAGAATGTCGCGAAACAGGTGTGGACTGCATACTTACGGGAGACGAAGAGGCCTGCAACGGAGGTTCGGCGATGGGATCACTACGTTGAGCAATCAGGCTGAAAGCCTTTCCCGACGATCTGTCCACATCGTGGTCTTGAGGCATGGTTTATGCCTGGCGACTGCTCCAGTCACAGTTCATGCCGAGTATGGCGAAGTCTTTTCGAGCAATTGAGTTTCAAGCCAGGTCCTTCGAACGATTTTGTGAAACGGCCCATGCGCTTTCTGGATGCTTGCCTTCAGAGCCATGTGGTAGCTTGATGATGTCGCCATGTCGTGTCGTGCAAGCGCAGACTGAGTGCTAAAGAAGCTTAGTGCAATGTTCATGAGGCGGCTCGCTGGAGGACGGTCTTCCCGATTGCTTGGCTCGCATAGACAGGCGCTCATGTTGCGGAATCTCCCATGCATGTTTCGGTTTGTGCCAACAGAATCCGGTGGGAGCTTGCACCCCTTGGTTCGTCAGAAAATGTCCATCCTTGAACAGGGTGTTCCCGTATACATGTCATGAACAATTCTGCAGGCAAGCTGCGAAGGCTGCTGAGGGCTTGACTGAGAACGACCTCCTCATCATGTTGAATGGCTGACTGGAGCTCAGCAGTGTCAATTGTCAGCGTGGTTTGAAGATATGTGAGCGAACGAGTGAGTGACTACTGATTGAGAATGCACACGCGCTCCAGTCGTGTGCCTAGCTCTGGTTGTTGTTCGGCTCCTTTTGCGGAGCAGAGGTGGTAACTTCCAGTTGCTGCGCAAGCTAATGGATGCCAAATGCGAGACGGCTACCGCTGCTGCAGACGAGAAGCGGAAAGTTGTTCCTGGGCTGAACAGATCGCCAAGTCGACGGTCACTGGAGATTCGACGCAGTCTTAGGCTCGCGCCCGAGACCGTTTCAAGGATACGTGGGGTGTCTTCCAGTGTGGCGGCTCGCAACTTACGTCCTGTTCCGATTGCAGCAGAGGTGCTGCACTCTTTCTCGTGCAAAGTTCTCGCGGATCGGGCGACCACATGCTTTGTAACTTTCGAGGAGATGAAGTCTTAAGACTTTAAGCTCGAGTGGGAGAGTTGAAAACTCAACTCCTCAGATCAAGGCGCCGCTTTGGAGCAGCTTCTCAAAGCTCCGCCCTGCTTGGAAGCACCTACAATCCAGCGAGAATTGGCACCCCAGTCAGAAGGCAGTTATTTGTGAGTTCGGTCTAAAGACATGACGTTTTGGCAAGGTGAGCTACGACCTGTGATGGGAGATGGTCGCCGTGTGCACAAGTCTGTGGTGGAACTCTGGTATCAGCTGTGCTTGTAGACAAGCACTGGATGATCACAGGTGAGTCCATGCAGGCTTCAAAGCTGTTGGTGCCAACTGCGACCGTCAAAAAAGTTTCGCTCTGGATGGATGCAGCAGACCCCGAATCAAGGTTTAGAGAGCAGGCTGACATGCTGATTCCAGCAAAGTGATTGGAGTTGACATTTTCGCGAGGAGTTTTGCTGCAATGCGACGGGTTTGCAATGTTTGCATAAGTTTCTTGTACTTCTTTACTGGGACGAGTTGGCAGTTCGCTGTGTAGACGCAAAGCCTACAGAAGTTAGAGAGTGCGGCTGGCCGTATTGGAGCGCTCATTCCACTGCCTAGGCAGCTCCGCAGCTGCTGCCGTAAGCTCAGTTCGCCCGTCTGGCTGATTGCCATTTACGCCTGAGAGCTTTGCAGGTTTACACTGTACATTTGGCCCTTCGTCCTCGTTTCCTATGTCGCATCGGGCTGGGGCTTTGCGATTTCCTGCGTCCAGCGCTCGGAGTGCACAGGCTCTGAGTTGCCGTCGTTGCCGTCCCCAAGGCCCAAGGTCCACGGTCTCAAGTCCAAGGATCCGTGATGCACAAAAGGCAAACGCGAAGATTACAACAGGCCAAGTTGGCAGAAGAGCCGGTTATTGAATTACAAGAGGGACTCAATTACAAGCGAGACGATCCAAGAAGGAGGATTCTTGAGCGCCCCTTCTTGCATGTAGTGATGAAGGTTCAGGATTCAAGAGCTCCTGTCAAACCAGCCTACTGTCGCGAAAAGCGACCGGGAGTTCTCTGGCTCCCTCCAGCATACCGGGGAAACAACGCACAACAATCATCCTGAAATCCGACGATTGCCCTCGGCCTGGCACTCCCGAACATTGCCACGTGCTCGTCCTGCCCAGTGCCTTCCGGTGGAGCTGGGTGCTTTCATCAGCTCCATACTGGCGTTTATGATGGGAGGCCCCCGTATCAGCGAGCCTTCGCAAGGAAAGAGATTCTGACCGGAGGAATCCTCGGGCTGCCAATGCAAATGCAAACCTTCCTGAACGGAGGGTTCATGGAGGTGATGGCCAGTGTCTCAGAGGGAGTAGCCGGCGAAGCCACATGGCCATCCTGATAGCTACGGGCAGTCGACTCGAGGTCGACTGCATCTCCTTCACTCGATGGAGTGTTTCCATGAGCTTCCTTGCCAACGGCTGAGTCCGACTCGTACCAGCCAGCAAGGATGCTCGAGCGCCCCAGGAATACCTCGCACTCCATCCTCCAGATGAAGCGAAGCTGGACACTATCAACGGTGAATTGCTCAAGTTGTGGTGTGCTCAGCCCAGCAGATGGATGCTCAAGGGCCGCGGCGTGCATGCAAGCTGCTGGTTTGCGTATACAAGACTCGAGAGGTTCAGAGATCATGCTTACACCAAGCGAGCTGCTCAGCCAGGGTTTCGGGATGAGCAACAATGCCGCGGTGATGGTGTACATTGCTGGTGTGAGGGCAACCTTCATCCTTGATGTCCGTGACGGCCAGTCGGTGGCTTGAGAATGAAGCCGCATGATATCCTACCAGTAGTTACCTAGTTGCGAACTTGCAAATTGTGCGTGTGGCCCAAGGTGGTGGACCGGAGTTCTAGCCTTGCTTTTACAAGGCATGCACGGGCTTCTCTGTGCTGACGTTGGATACAGAGTCTGTGCCGTTGAGAGTGTGAAGAGAGGGTTTCTGCATGTCAATGTGGCGTCATGGGGTACTCCCATCGAAGGTTCTGTCCTGCGGGCAGGACACTTACGTTTCGGCCCGGTTGGAGCCTGTAATAACTGCAACTGCACGTTGCGATGCCGGCGGGCCGGCATACGGGCGAGCGAAAGATTCTGCTGCAAGCACCGTGGTAGACTTCGAGTGTTGCCAAGCTGAGGTCGTTGCATACCTCGGTCTGCGCTTCACCAATCGAGCCAGACAAATCTGACGGGTCGTTCACCACAAGTCAGCGGCCAGGTTCAGCAAGCATTGCCAAAGCTTCGCAGATGCTTTGCTGTCACGCTGTCACTTGCGACGGAAACTTCAGCTCGACTTGAGCTCGTGCAAAGCGGACTGCTGTTATTCGATCATTGCAGAGATGAACACGATGTCCAGCGAAGTTGTCCGTGCTCTCTTGGATGACCTCTTACGTATATTTTTCGATGTAGACAAGTTGGCAGCAAGAGTTGAAAGGCTGCAGCCACAACTAGAGACCAGGGATGACGTCAGTTCTTTCAACCTTGTCCCAATGCTAATGCACGGTACCACTGCCATGTGGTCTAAAGCGGCGCTTGCAGTGCAAAAACTGATATGTTTCGGCCTTGTGCAAGAAGAGCGGCCAGAAGCTAGCTGCCGATTCTGCCGCAGGCATCTTCCACAGGAACCTCAAGCCCACAAACGCGCCAGACTCAGAACCGGTGCAGGCCTCTTACAGCGGCCGCTTTGACGAGTTGTTTTCCGGTGCGTTTTGTGCTTTCCGCATTATGTGGGAGCCATGCTCGAGCAAGCTTCTGTCAAGGGTCCTTCGGAGAACTGCCCGCCGCGGTTTTTGGAAAGCATCGTTAAACAGACCGGCTTTCGGACAGACACACTTTGAGGCTGTAGCCAACATCCGTCGGTGGATGGGGTAAATCACAAGTGTTTGCACTTACGAGTTAGTGACATGTCAGCAAGTTGTGCTATGGTCGCCTGAGAAGCAAGCCTACCAAGCACTGGCGAGAATGGGTGGTGGACTTCGTGAAGAGCGGTTCGTCCGAAAGCGTTTGAGGCATTGGCAATCTCTGGCCTTGGTCTTTGTGGGATGCTGGGCAAGAGACCTTCAGTACCTTTTTGGCCTTTCTGATACCTAAAGGAGAGCAGCTCCGATTCCTCGGAACATGTCGTAATGACTCCCATGCAGTGCGAGCTTATTGTAAGCATAGATAGTGAATTGAAGGTGTCTCATGATGAGGCTCTGCTTACTGGACCTTTTCGATTCCTCAGAGCGAACGTTCCAACACAACCTGTCAGCCTTCGGCGGGCGGTCCTGGACTTCGTGCAACTCGGTCTGCGTCCGTGTTTGTGTGTGTGTGTGTGTTTTTTGGGGCGGGGGAAGATGTGTTTCTGTGTTGTTCGTGCCTGCTGTGCACAAGACGTGCCTCATCTTCAACAAGGCTAGCACATGTAAGGTATCAAGGGTTCAAGACAGCTCGCGATCCAGTGGCAATCTGCTCTGAGGTAAGAGTTGGCATAAGAGCCTTGACCGCAAGCAGTTACCGTTATGCGCTAGTTTATGCTTGTGCTGTGTGCTAAACTCGTTGTAATCGACTGCAGCTGGCAGCGTCTTGAGAGGCTACGACTTTGAGGAGAGCGTTGCTTCTTCCGTTCTCGACAGCATCAGTCTGAATCCCGCCCTGGAGTTTGTGTGTGGCAGAGGCGACGTGGCTCCGCAGATCGAGGCAGAGGTACAAGAGATGAAGATTGGTGAGCGACGCTCTTTGACATTGGATAGCTCCAACCCATTGTTTGGGTTCTACGATGAAAGCAGGCGGATCTCCGTGCCAGCATCTGAATTTTCCACTGCTGAGATCGGCACTGTCGTGTCATTGGAGGGGTATGGAGCAGGGATGGGACTTGTTCTGGAGCGCGATGCTCAGACGCTGCTGGTTGACCAAAACCATCCGCTGGCTGGTAAAAGCGTTAACATCACTCTGACGCTCTTGAGATGCGAGAAGGTGCCTCCCCGCGATGTTCGTGTCATGTCTTTGGTAGGAGGCGATGGCCAGACATTTCCTGCCTATGGCGATTGGCTCACCCTGAACTACGAGCTGAGGCTTGCAGGCTCTACGAGAATTATCGACAGCTCAAGAGATGTGGGTCCACTGGAGTACCACTTGGGTTTTGACCAAGCGAGACTTGTGCCTGGTTTCGAAATAGGAGTTCAGCAAATGTCGCTTGGAGAAGTGGCCTCGATACACGTTCCATCACAGTTGGCCTATGGAAGCAAGGGCTCGGACAAAGCGATCCCTGCGAATGCGGATCTTGTTTACAAAGTTGCACTACTTGGCATAAGGTCGGAGCTGGATCTCGCTTTCTGAGCCAAAGTCGCTGCAAAGCTCTTCTGTGATCTTCAGCGTCCGCTGCAGGTCAAGCCTTGCACCTGCTGTGAATCTCGGACGAACCATATCAGCGGAAGTCTTAAGCATGGAAAGTTAGCTGCATTTCGAGTCTTGATTCACGGCAATTTTCAGTTGCGGAAAAATCCGCGTCGGCCTATGAGAGCAGTGTAGAGCAAATCTCATAAATCTCGTTGCAGGTTACAGCATCAGAGCCGGCACGGTTGTCGAGCTTTGCAGTTCTTCGTTGAGTAGAGAAGGGACAGTATCCTTTGGCGTCACAGACTAGGTACAGATGACTACGTAGCACTCTCCATCGTGACTTTACAGCGCGTCGTCGGGTGGTGTGGAGTTTCCTCGTGGTGACATTGCAGATTTGACAAGCATGAAGTCGTGAAGTCCCGAAAGGTTGCTGGAAAGTTTTGAGGGGTTGTCCCACATCCAAGCTCACAGCTTTTTCCGGATTGTCAGTTTGGGAGACATACGTCCATCATCTTCCGTCTCGGATAGTGCACCTGCACAACAGCTTCTCCACAGATTCAGTGGCTTCTGGCACAGAACTGCGGTTGGCGTGCTGCTAGGTGCTTTTTGATCCACCTTCGGGTGTTGTGAAGCTTTGTGATCTCGCCAGGCACCTAGACACCCAAGACCGGCCCAAGACGCGTGGAAAGTCCGATGAGACTGAGGATCACGGCCGTTCGTTGGATTCTCCACTCCGAGCCTACTCACCAGAGGAGACCGCTAACTTGATGGTGAGCTTGCAGCTTTACTAAATGGCCGAGCAGCCGCAAGCTTGGAATGATTCCAACATGTACTCCGGTCGCAGTGTGCTGGTACCAACTTCCATGAAGGGGTGCATGTACTGGCAACAGTCGGTAACAGCTCTCGATCAGTGAAGGGCACTAGTCACTAGGGATTTCCTCCAAAAGAACCTGGGGCAAACGGCCTGAATTCCATGTTACACTTCCTTCGTCCCATGACCTGGGCCCGAATATGAGGGAACAAAATCCACATCGGGCACCCAGCCGTGTAAAAGAAAGGAGGAAAAGAAGCGAGACGCGTCCAGCCGCGAGGCGCGGTTCTTCTATTCGCTCCAACATGTGCCCTGCTTTCAGCTTTTCTTGTCAGACGTGCAGACTTCGCTACAAAGCTCCGGAGCTCATCTTGCGCAAGGAACGCTGCAGTGTCAGATGCTGGGGTGGGAAGCTTGGCTCCCAGAAATGAAATCAGAGAATAGGTATGCCCGTAGGCTACCTGAGGCGTGTTTCCTTGATCCGAGCATGTTCAGGGCGAGTGTTGGATTTTAGGTCACCCGGACCGTCGGCTTGATTTCATGCCCCATCTTGCTTTGGCAGTTTTACATGCTCTGGAGTGAAGCCTATTTAGCATGTTGCAGGCTCCGAAAAGCATCCTGACGGAAAGAGATGAGAGACATGGAAGCAAAGCAAAGACATGGCATTAGCGCGTGCGCGCAGCGCTCAGGAGGCCTCCGGGTACCGCAGGCATCGATTACACAGGTTTCAGAAATGCTTGGAAGTCACGCTTGGAGGCTGCACGGGGGAAGAAGCAACCAACCAGCCCCGCAAGTTCAATTCGAGTTCTAGGATTAACAGGGGCTCCTTTGGAACCTGTCGGTAAAACTCCCACAGCGACAGAGTCAACTTCGAACTTCGTACAATCTGAGTCAACATACAAAGATGGGGCGAAGCCTTTTGAATCACTTTGAAGGTGTTTCTCTATCATTTCCTCAGAGTGTGCGGGGCATTGCTTGCTTACAGTAAGAGGTTGTGTTTTACAGGGGCTTTCCCCCGACATAAAGCCATACCTGGGTCCCCATTTCAGGCGCCAGTCTGTGCTGTTCTCCCCACTGGATGGAGAGATTCGGGAAATCTCGGGAATGCACCTTGAACCCCAAACAAGACGGTGCTACAACCGTGCTTGGGGGGCGGGGGGGTACTGCCGATCGTGAGGTGGTCGTTGCATTAGTGTGAAATGCAACGGGGAAGCAGTTTAAACTTAAGTTTGGCTACGTGTGCGAACCAGTGGCTATCAGTCGAATCAGTCGCCAGTTCTGCCGGGCCACAAGCGGACGTGCGCCAGAGCGAGGGAGCATGTCTAGCCACACGAAAGATAGTCAGAGAGATGTCTGCTTGCAGAAGAAGAGCGATAAGAGCTGGCCAGGAGGAGTACGGAGCAGCTGTCGACATATGGGCCACGGGCTGCCTCCTGGCAGAGGTGAGGAAAGTATGCTTAAACCTGTGCATCAGATGCAGACATGTCCGAGCATCCTTGCATGGAATGCCACGCCGACTTCCGATGGAGGCAGTGCTGTCGACGCCGTTGTTCGAGTCAACGGAGGAGGCTCCGGCTTCCGAGCGAAGCAGTGCATTGCAAGCCGCAGCAAGCCGCGTCAGGTCGATCATTTGTTCCTCATCTTCCGCCTCCTCGGCACCCCCGGGCCAGCCGCCCATGCCCAGCGGCCCCGAACCCCTGTTTTGCTCAGCGGGTTGAGGCCGGGCCACTGGCCCGAGGCGCTGCGCTGCCGGCACTTCTCTCCGAGGCGCCTTGCGATCATTTGCGATGTTTGTGGGAAGCCGCCATCGAACAAGAAGACTTGGCGTCTTTGTAGACTTGCAGGTTTCCGGTGTACAAACCGGTAGATCTGGGTGCCCTGACACGTGCCACGGCACGAGCAGCTGTCGGGGACTGCACGGAGGCCTGACGAGACGAGCCATGCCTGGCCACATAAGCGACTCCGCAAGAGTTTGTACAACAAAGCAGCTTAGATGCTGTGTCGCATGCAGGTCAAGTTGCTTGCACAGGCGCATCAACATGCATCTCTGAGGATCTCTTCGCATGCCCTCGCAATGAAGTTGCCGTGATAGGAGATGGAACACCGCGAGGATGTGCCTGTCTTAGCTCAGCGCCTTGAAGAGCTCAACACTCCGTAATTACAATGCTCTGTGACGAAGGTATTGCAGAAACTCTGCTGCATCGCGAAGAAGCTGCAGGTGCCCTGCTCAGTATCCGGCACGAGCGTTCGTCTTCGTCGCGGTTCGTCACCTTACTGCGGCTCTAGGACTCTAGGATCGAGAGTCGGAAGATGGTGCAAGCCGCGCATGCTGAGGCTCCGCAATAACCATTTAGCCAAGATAGCCAGCGTAGAGGCACTTGAGCCGGCAGTCAAGGCCGAGCGCACACGAGCTAGGCATGCCGGGCCGCCGAACACTTCTGGGGTGATTCTTAAGTCGGAACCCGGCAGCATTGCCCTGCGAGCACCGTGTCTTATCCTGGAGAACTCAGCAGACGGTCTCTCCGGCCAAATCATCCGCAAGTGACAATGATCATCACGCACTCTCACTTGAGCTAGCGCTTCAAGTTTCGGATCTCGAAGATGCATAGCTGAACGATTAGGAAAGCAAGCCTAAAGCAATGTTAAAGCACAACTGAGGCCCGTGGGATGGCACTTCTTGCTTCGCTCCTTCGTCTTGACCCGGCCCAGAGGTCGGCATCGATTCTGAAGCCTGAATTACAACAAGTTCCGTGTTTTGCAGGTCCACTGCCGAGCAAGCGTTGCAGTCGACGTTCTTCACGGCCTTGCCAGAACCTCGATCGAAGGATCACTGTCTATGTCGGCGAGCAGTCCAGTCCACGCTCTGACAGGTCCGAGCCCGACACTCCCTCACGAAGGTGGCTCCCTCGAGTACTCAGCTCGACTGGAAGACGGTCCGCAGTCAATCTGCCATCTCGTCCTGGACGGTCGCGACACAGACCAGATTACACTATCTCTCCTCCGTGTCGTTGTATGAAGTTGTATGTGTCTAAGAAGCTTGACATCTGGCCTGTGCTGGAGGGCAAAGCCTGGCGGAACGACACCTGTAGCGATGCACCTGCATGGCTGAGTTCATGGCTGGTGGTTACAGCAGTCTTTCAAGGCTGCCGCTACTTCTCTGTTACTACTACTACTACTACTACTACCACCACCACCACCACCACCACCACCACCACCACTACTACTACCACGACCACCACTACTACTACTACTACTACTACTACTAATACTACTAGTACTGCTACTACTACTACTACTATTACTACTACTACTACTACTACTACTACTACTCCTACTCCTACTCCTACTCCTACTATAC